GAGATAGTGGACAGCCTTGTCTGGTTCCTGATTTCAATGGGAATGCTTCCAGTTTTTCTCCATTTAGAATAATGTTGGATGTGGGTTTGTTTTATATGGCTTTAATTAGGTTGAGGTATGTTCCCTGTAGTCCAATTCCATCTAGGACTATGAACATAAATTAATGTTGAATTTTGTCAAAGGCCTTCTGTGCATCTATTGAGATGACCATGAGATTCTTGTATTTGAGCCCATTTATATGATTTATGACATTTATTGACTTACAAATATTGAACCATTTCTGCATCTCTGGAATAAAGCCAACTTGATCATGGTGGATGAGCTTTTTGATGTGTTCTGTATGTGGTTGGTTTACAAGTATTTTGTTGAGAATTTTTGCATCTATGCTCATTGAGGATATGGGTCTACAGTTTTGTGGGGTTTTTTTTGTTTTTTTTTTGGTTGTATCTTTACCTGGTTTGGTTCCCATGCTTTTGGATACCCATCCATTTTTTTTAGGTTTTCAAATTCAGGAACATACAAGTTTTTAAAGTATTCCCTTATAATGTGCTGGATCTTTTTGGTGTCTCTTGTGATGTTTTCCATTTCATCTCTGATTTTGTTGATTTGGAGGTGCTTTTTTTTTTTTTTTTTTTTGGTTAACTGGGTTAGCTGTCTATCAATCTTTTTATCTTTTCAAAGAAACAGCTATTGGATTCGTTGATTCTTTGTATTCTTTGTTTCTTTTTCATTAATTTCTGTGCTAATTTTTTTTATTTCTTCTTGTCTACTGGGCTTGGCTTTCATTTGTTTTTGCTTTTGAAGTGTCTTGGTTTATAATATTAAGTCATTTATTTGTGTTCTTTCTGATTTTTTAATGTGGGCACTTGGAGCTATAAACTTCCCTCTAATGACTGTTTTCAACATGTCCCAGAGGTTTTGTTGTGTTGTATTTTCCTTTTCATTTAGTTCTGGGAATTCTTTTACTTCTTTCTTAATTTCTTCTTTGGCCCATTCATCATTCAGGAGTGTGTTATTTAATCTCCATGTGTTCATGTGGTTACTAGGGTTTCTTGCAGTGTTGACTTTAAGATTTATTGTATTGTGGTCTGATGGAATGCATGGAATTATTTCAATCTTTTTGCATTTGTTGAGGTTTGTTTTGTACCCCAGTACATGGTCGATTTTGGAGAGGGTTCCATAGGGCATTGAATAGAAATTATATTCTTTGATGCATGGGTGGAATATTCAGTAGATGTGTGTTAGGTCCATTTGATATATGGTATTGTTTAATTCAGATGTCTCTCTGTTAATTCTCTTTCCTGTTGACCTATCTAACAGAGAAGTCCCCTACAATTTATGAGTTGGGATTAATCTGGGTCTTAAAGCCCTATACTACTGATTTTATGGAGGTGGGTGCACGAGAGTTTGGTGAATATATGTTCATGATTGTAATATATTCTTGGTTTATTGTTCCTTTGATCAGAATGAAAGGTCCTCTTTATGTCTTCTGATTAGTTTTGGTTTAGAGTCTATTTTTTCTTAGTACCATTCACTTGCTATATTTTTTCCATCCTTTCACCTTAAGTTAGTGCCCATCCTTGTAAGTGAGATGAGTTTCTTGCAGAGAACAAAAGGATGGGTTTTGTTTCTTAATCCATTCAACTAGTCTGTGTCTTTTGATGGGAGAGTTCATTCCATTCATATTTAAAGTTATTAATAAAAGATGTGTATTGAATCCTGTCATTTTTATTTCTGTTCACATTCTTGATATAGCTGTGCATTTCTAAAGTTATAACTTCATTGAATTTCTTTCCATAACCCCTTGTGTAGTCATTCCTTTCTTTGGCTCTTTGTATTGCTTCAAGAACTCTCTGAAGGGATGGTTTTGTGGACATGAATTCTTTGAGCCTGTTTATATCATGGAATATTTTTCTTTCCCCTTCAACTGTAATAGACAATTTGGCTGGGTAAAGTAATCTGCATTGGCATCTGTGGTCATTTAGAACTGGGAATACTTTGTTCCAGGCTCTTCTGGCTTTCATAGTTTGCACTGAAAAG